AAGTGATCGTCTCCGAGGCAGAATCGACTTCTGCCCAGACTATGATCGCTTAGCGACCCACCTGTATCGCTTAAGCGATTCTTCCTAAAAGACATTGGTCACTTAAGCGATCGTTTCCGAGGCAGAATTGACTTCTGCCCAGACAATGATCGCTAAGCGACCCAACTGTATCGCTTAAGCGATTCTTCCTAAAAGACATGTGGTCGCTTAAGCGATCTGTGATCGCTTAAGCGATTTTTCCGAGGCAGAATGACATCTGCCCAAACTATGATCGCTTAAGCGACTTATGTACGCTTAAGCGATTCTTTCTAAAATGACATCTGCCCACACCTTGGGCGTAAGCGATCGTTTCTGGAAAAGTCTTGGTCGTTTAGAGAAATATGTGGACAAACAAAAATATCTTATATGGACACACCATACATAGTAAATTGAAACTGTGATGAATTATCTTATATGGACAAACAAAAATATATCCCAAATATCAGCTCAATTCTTTACAATGATCACACCATAGATAGTAAATTATTTACAATTTCCGTACACGCCTTTAATTTAGTTTTTGATGCCAAAGAGTTTAGAGCCACAGTTAATGGTATCAGGGCAGTCCATGCTTGAAAAGATGCCCACGACATCATTCTTCCCGATGCTTTCTGGCTCTGAACTAGCATCCAACAAATTCAAGATGGTGCCTCCGTTGGCTTTCTGTGGAGATGACCATTCCATCTTTCATAAACACAAGTCAAAAAAAACTCAGTGGTAGCAGCTGAAGTTATATGGTTTAGAATAAATACAATCAACTCAAAAAACCCAAGTATGAACATCAACATCACATAAACTACAAAATTCAGCGTCCAACATTCATACCCTTTGATTGGGTTCTGGTCACTCAAAACGGATCCATCTGCCCATGGAAGCAGTCGACAAGCCCAGCGCTCCCGACAGTCTCTCATTGTTCGTCATTCAAGCTGTCCATCGGGCTGTTGGTCATGTCGAATGAATAAATTTCAGGGCATATGCCCCACATTCAGCGCTACAATAGGAAGAAGATATTAGCATTATAATAAACTTATGAACAATTGTATTATGGAGTTAGTTTTAAACAAAATTTACCTTGACTCATTTATTGGGCAGGTACAGCGCTGAATTGGCCACTTTCGTTTAGTACTCATCGAAGTGCCCAAAAAATCCGCTGTCATGCAACAGCCGGGAACAACTGGACAGTGGGTCCAACTCGACCTCCAACTGCTTGTTCGAAAAATGGTTGGGTTGCAGTCAAGGATCTTCAGAAACCCCTCCTCTAGATGCGCAACGACTGCTATCCAGTGCATCTGTTTGATGAGGATGATGCAGTACATCTTTTTAACAAAGGCCCAACCGTGGCCATATTTGGGCCGATCCCCCTTACATACTGCGCAATCCTGCATCAAACCGGAAATCATCAGGGATGCAGTCCGACTGTTGTGCAGTCAATGTTTTCGCTTCGGTCCTTTTCCTACACCACTAGCAACGGCATTTTAATTAAAGTGCGATATGCCGAAACAAGCGTTTGTCCAAACGCCACATCGGTGATAGCACAGTCGGGATACAACAGATCACCATCACTAGTCTGTCGTAGCTCATCAGTGCCAATATCTCATCGATGTGCTGCATCAATAAAAAACAACAAGATAAGTATAGAAAACACAGGCAAAAATAAGGAAAATTATGTGCAAATAACTCATCGAGTCTCAAGCCGTCCCCATCGTCAAAACTTCTGAAACCATTCGGGGATAATCCCCTGTCTTACACTTTATATGGCCATCAATTCCGATCCATTGAATAGGCATAAAAGAGTATTTCCTTTCCTCTATTGGCCTATACAAATCGACATTTGAGTCCAATTCCCTTCCCCACTTCCTCCCCCTTCCTCCATTTTTACATCCCCGCTTCCTTCGCTCCCAACTCCCCCTCCTCCAATCACCGCCCCACTTCACCACCAACCTCCTAACTCCTCCATTTCTGGTTGTTCCTCCATTTGTTCTCATTTCTTCTTCTTACTGTGTCACTACCATGTAAGGCGATTTCACAAACTTGCTCTTTCGGCTCTCTCTTTCAAGCCAGTTTGCACTTCAACCGCCTTTAATTCTCCACCAACTTCCCCTCCATTGTACCAACTTCGCCCTCCATTGTACCTACTTCCCTCCCACCTTATCCACTTTCTTCCACCCTTTTCAGTTTCTTCCATCTTCTCAAGCTTTGCATAAACGGTATTGTAAAACTCTCAAACAGGCCGTTTATGAGGTCAACAACCTCATTCTCCCTACGCCGATGTCTCGGCAAAGTGGTGACTTGTTGTACCGGTTTGCTGAGGCATACGAACTCTCCTCTCTTCTCTCCTCATCCCGGCCCCGAGCTTCATTATCTCAGCATCAACGACATGTCAAGCAATGGCCTTGCAACTGCCATCACATGCGTGACTCTTTTAGGTCCCGCATCAGGCGGTCTATCTATTCATCCCTTTTATCTCCATTGCTCTGAAAGATGGAATAGTCCTCTTCGCTTCATCCCCAATAGCGATCAAAAAGGGACAGACGACTCCCTGCAATAAGAAATAAAAATCAATCAGATTGAAGCAAAATAAAAAAGCAACTGCATATTCAAAAGCTTAATCCTTCAACTTACCCAAATACTTGAATCTCAATCTCTAATTGGCCATAAACCCAAGGTTACAGCTCTCGACATGCCACCGCAACATCCTAGGGAATTGCTGTGCACATTCACATTTTTGCTCCTCCCCGCCTTAGCGAAGACAGGGATGACCTCGTACATCAAGCCTACATTGTAAAAAACAAGTCCATGTCATTATTCAAAAAACAATATTATAAAAAATATAACATAGAGCTATTAATATTTACCTGCATTGCCATGGGAAGCCAAACAAAATATTCGTGCTTGGTTAGCCTTCCCGCCCATTCGACATGCTTTAACGCCATGTCGGTTTTTTAGGCTCTTGATGGTTCGCTCAAATGATATCCGTCCCCACGGATAAGAATTAAGAACTCCAAGTCGCTTACAAACAGCAACCAATCTTTCTCAACAGCTTTTGTTGAGTCAACAGCCAATAAGATAGAAGTAAAAACAATATCAAGCACACTTTTATCTTCTCGCATCACTAAACCGAACTGTATATAGCCTCTTCTCTAAAACTTTCCTGTAATAGACTTTGCCCCTTTCAAAACCTTTTTACAAAAGTTATGGCTCCCCACACTCGTCCTTACTGCGTCTGCCTCCGCCTTAGTTGGCACTTTCCCGCATCCTAAGCCCGTCACCAACGCATACTCCATCATACCACCGTAGTGGCTTTCCCTCCACCACGAACCACATTTCATTTTTTTTGTTGCTTTTACTGAGTGCATCAACATGTAATGCACTCCTGCCCCAAAATGACTTTTTCCACTTTTTTCCGATTTAAAAACTGACCGAAACAAGTGCCACCAAAATCTCTTTCACCGTGCCCATTCTAGCTAAAATGGCCCTATTCTGTCAAAAACTCCCAGCTCGACCTCACCGTCACCCTTGCAGGGAGTAGGGTACCTTCTCACTTATAGGCTCCAACTGTACTCTCTACAGTTACGGTCCGCACAATCTGCACAATCGATATAAATAAAATGTCATCAACAAAAAATAACCAAAACACTGTAGTCGCTTAAGCGATCTCGGATCGCGTAAGAGACTTTACTGTCTCATGCAAGATCGCTTAAGCGATTTTAAATCGCTTAAGCGACCAGAAGTTAACTGAGAATCTCTTAATCTGTGATTCTACCAGACCTAAGACGCTTAAGCGACCAAGAGTAAACACTCATGATCTCTTAAGCGATCTTTGGTCTGGGCAGAATCATCTGCCCAGATCTCAGATCGCTTAAGCGATCATTTTATCGCTTAAGCGATCATTGCTGCGATCACGAGTAAAACAGAATAATCGCTTAAGCGATAAATGATCGCTTAAGCGAAATTACAAGCAACATTCCAAACTACGTACCCTATCTTCGCCGGCTTCTCCTCGTCACCGGATCCTCCGGCGACTCCTCCTGGCCTGAATTCTCGCCGAAATCCACTCCTGGCCTGAATTCTCTCCGGAATCCTCCTGGCCTGAATTCTCGCCTGACTCCTGTCTTCAGACCCTTTGCTGGTTTTCCCTCTGTTCTTGTGCCGCCGGCGTCTCCTCTACATGTGGACCACCTTCAATGGTCAGATGATTCACCGGAGCAGCCATTGAACTGCTTGCGCCACGGAATCTAGGATTCGAAGTGGCGTGGGCTTCCCTCCTCATTGTCAGTGTCACTCATGGTTTTGGATTGAATTTGGTGTCAAGTTTGCAGTTTCGATCGGAAATTAGACTGTATCGTCGGAAATGGCACAGTTTTCGTTTACGGGTAAGGAAATCGATTTTAGGGTCAACAAATCGATAGAAATCGCGACTTATACGCCGAAAATCGCGACTGTATTCGGTTTAGGGTTCAAGAAATTGAGTTAGGGTGCAAATCAATTGGTGTTCGATCGGAAAAAATCGCGTCTCCCTTTCGTTCAAGAAATCGCGTTTTCAACTGATGAATTTTGATTAAGCGACGTGAATAGTTAGTGGGGCTTGTTTTGCGAAATTTCAAATTTTGAAAACTTTCATTATTTCTGATTCGGCCCACATATATTTTAATCTTTTCATTTTAACCCATTTTACGTGTTTAATTAATCCTAACTATGTCACGTCATCTTCTCTAAATTATAAAAAATTTGATGAACAGTTTCAAGGCCATTTTCTTAAATACATAATTGGGGGGACCGGGCAGCTAAATTTTCTCCTTTATATAACCGTGAGTTCACTATTTGTTTCCAGTTTTCCTTTTATAATTATATTGTTGCTATTATTTAGTTATTTTTTTCCTTATTCAGTTGACTGCTCATTAGGGTTTAGTTAGCGTATAGCATTTTCTTTCTTTTCAATTGGGGTTTGAATTTATTTGAAATATATGGGTGGTGGTGCGGAAGCACACGCTCGATTCAAGCAATATGAGTATAGAGCAAACTCGAGTCTTGTTGTCACGACGGTTTCTCGCCCACGTGATACTCACGAGCCCACTGGCGAGCCTGAATCTCTCTGGGGTAAGATTGACCCCAGAAGCTTTGGTGACCGTTCTTACAGGGGCAGACCCCCCGAGTTAGATGAGAAATTAAAGAAATCTAAGAAGAAGAAGGAGCGTGATCTGCTTGCTGAACCTGTTCCTCGACAGAGCAAGAGATTTGGTCTTTGTCAAGAGAGCGTTCTTACTTCCTCTGAGGAAGGGCTTTACCAGCCCACGACCGAGGAAACCAGAGATGCCTATGAGCATATGCTCAGTGTCATTCAACAACAGTTGGGTGGTCAGCCTCTTGATATTGTTAGTGCGGCTGCTGACGAGATTTTGGCTGTTCTTAAGAATGACACTGTTCAAAACCCTGATAAGAAGATGGATATTGAGAAGTCGTTGAACCCTATACCAAATCATATCTTTGATCAGTTTGTTTCCATTGGAAGGCTTATTACTGATTATCAAGATGGGAGTGATGCTGGGGCCTCCACTGCTAATGGTGATGAGGCACTTGATGACAATAATAGCTATGAGGCACTCAATAACAATATGGGCGTGGCTGTTGAATTTGAAGAGAATGATGATGAAGAGGAAGAGAGTGATCTGGATATGGTTCAGGAGGGTGAAGAGGATGATGATGATGTGGATGAGCCCAATGGTTCTGCGGCTATGCAAATGGGTGGTGGCATCGATGATGATGATTCACAGGACGCGAATGAGGGCATGAGTCTTAATGTCCAGGGTATAGATGCTTATTGGCTTCAAAGGAGAATCTCTCAAGCTTATGAGCAACAAATTGACCCACAGCAGTGTCTGAAGCTTGCAGAAGAGGTTCTAAAGATACTTGCTGAGGGAGATGATCGGGAAGTTGAGACTAATCTGTGGGTGCATCTTCAGTTTGAGAAATTCAGTCTCATTAAGTTTTTATTGCATAACCGTCTGAAGATTGTGTGGTGTACTCGTTTGGCAAGGTCCAAAGACCAAGAAGAGAGGAAGAAGATTGAGGAGGAAATGAGGGGTTTGGGTCCTGATTTGGTTGCAATTTTGGAGCAGTTGCATGCAACGAGGGCAACTGCCAAGGAAAGGCTGAAGAATCTGGAGAAGAGTATTAGAGAAGAGGCTTGCAGGCTGAAGGATGGGAGTGGTGGAGATGGTAACAGGGATAGGAGGGCTCTTGTTGATAGAGATGCAGATGGTGGCTGGTCGCGGGGTCAGCGCCAGTTACTTGATCTAGACAGCCTTGCTTTTGAACAGGGTGATCTTTTGATGGCAAATAGAAAGTGTCATCTTCCTACGGGGTCTTATAGACATCTTAGCCAGGGATATGAAGAAGTTCATGTGCCAGCATTGAAACCAAATCCACTGGATCCCAATGAGAAGCTGATAAAGATCACTGAAATGCCAGAGTGGGCACATCCAGCTTTCAGAGGAATGACTCAGTTGAACAGGGTGCAGAGTAGAGTGTATGAGACTGCCCTTTTTTCAGCAGATAATATACTGTTGTGTGCTCCTACCGGGGCTGGGAAAACTAATGTTGCCGTGCTTACCATACTTCAGCAGTTAGCATTGAATCAGAACCCAGATGGTTCATTCAACCATAGCAACTATAAGATTGTCTATGTGGCACCGATGAAAGCTCTTGTTGCTGAAGTCGTCGGTAATCTTTCTAATCGTTTGCAGGTATATGATGTCAAGGTGAGGGAGCTAAGCGGAGACCAGACACTGACGCACCAACAAATTGAAGAAACACAAATAATTGTGACCACTCCTGAGAAGTGGGATATCATTACCAGAAATCAGGGGATCGGACCTACACGCAGCTTGTGAAACTGCTTGTTATTGATGAAATTCATTTGCTTCATCAGAATAGAGGGCCGGTGCTTGAAAGTATTGTTGCTAGGACTATTAGGCAAATTGAAACTACAAAAGAGCATATTCGGTTGGTTGGGTTGTCAGCTGCACTTCCCAATTATGAAGATGTGGTGTTATTTTTACGAGTGGATTTGGGAAAAGGGTTGTTCCACTTCGATAATAGCTATAGACCCGTCCCTCTTTCTCAACAGTATATTGGGATCACGGTCAAGAAGCCATTGCAAAGGTTCCAGTTGATGAATGATTTGTGTTATGAAAAGGTTATGGCAGTTGCTGGAAAGCATCAAGTTCTTATTTTCGTTCACTCCAGGAAGGAAACAGCAAAAACAGCTCGTGCAATACGAGATGCTGCACTTGAGAATGATACCCTTGGTAGATTCTTGAAGGAGGACATTGTCAGCCGTGAGATTCTCCGAAGTCACACAGATATGGTCAAGAGCAATGATCTTAAAGACCTTTTGCCTTATGGTTTTGCAATTCATCACGCTGGGATGACAAGGGGTGACCGTAAAGTTGTTGAGGATCTTTTTGGTGATGGAAATGTGCAGGTGTTGGTTCCACTACAACTCTTGCTTGGGGGGTGAATTTGACTGCTCATACAGTGATCATCAAGGGAACCCAGATTTACAATCCAGAGAAAGGGGCATGGACCGAGCTTAGTCCTCTGGATATTATGCAGATGCTTGGTCGTGCTGGAAGGCCTCAGTATGATTCATATGGGGAAGGGATTATCATTACTGGTCATAGTGAACTTCAACACTATCTTTCTTTAATGAATCAACAGCTCCCTATTGAAAGTCAGTTTTGTGTCCAAACTAGCTGATCAGCTAAATGCTGAAATTGTCCTTGGGACTGTCCAAAATGCTAAAGAAGCCTGCAATTGGATTGGATACACTTACCTGTACATTCGTATGTTACGAAATCCTTTGCTTTATGGTTTGTCGCCTGAGGTTCTGAAAGAAGATATAACATTGGGGGAGAGGAGAGCTGATTTGGTAAGAATCTCTGTAGTGTAGCTTCTCTTTTTTTCTTTTTCTTTTTTCTTTAATTGGCGGGATCTCTTTTTTTATCATTCTCATTTGTTTGATCTTTTGCATGCACGTCTAGTTGCATTTTTAATCTGTTCCTTTTTCTCCTGATGGTGTGGTGCTTAGTATGGGGGGAATTTTTCGTTCACCAAAATGAATCAATTTTTTGGTCCTTTGCATGAGGATTTGACTAGGCATTTAAAGATATGTATTTAAATTTATTTCTGCCCGTGATTGTTTCCATAACTGCACTAAGGCTCTTTTTATTTTTACTTTTTAAATTTTATTTTCAAAGTTTCTATTGATTTGAGAGTCTCTGTGTGTGTGGTTGCAATTTTTTTTTTCAAACTTCCTTAGGTTATATTTGTATCCTTTATTGTAATTTCATAAATTATTCATCATACTTGCTGAGTTGCTTATCAACAATGGAACTTGTCTTAAAGGACACAATAAGAAAAAAAAAAGAGAAGTTTTTTCAGTCTCCTCTTGTATTTGTCTGTTTTTTCTATTATAACGGCTGTCTTGTACACCTTGTAGCTCACCAAATTGATTTGTCTATTGCACGTTTGATTGGATCATTTTACTGTTAGTTTATTTAAATCATCCTAGTTCTTTCTTTCCATTTGCTGAAACTTATGTTTGATTTCTTTTTGTAGATTCATTCCGCTGCCACCATCTTGGACAGAAATAACTTGATCAAGTACGATAGGAAAAGTGGATATTTCCAGGTTATGGACTTGGGTCGCATTGCAAGCTACTACTATATAACTCATGGGACAATAGCCACATATAATGAGCATTTGAAGCCAACAATGGGCGATATTGAGCTTTGCTGGCTATTTTCTCTTAGTGAAGAATTCAAATATGTAACAGTTAGGCAAGATGAGAAGATGGAGCTGGCTAAGCTGTTGGACTGTGTTCCCATTCCCATACAGGGAAGCCTGGAAGAGCCTAGTGCCAAGATTAATGTTTTGCTGCAGGCATACATTTCTCAGCTAAAGCTTGAAGGGCTTTCATTGGTTTCTGACATGGTGTTCATAACTCAGGTTAGTTTTCTTCTTTTTGCCATGTTCTTTCTGTCATTCCTTTATTATTCCTGAGGAACACAAGATTTCACATATCTCTTTTCTCATTTTACATTTTTTTTATTCTTTATTAGAGTGCGGGACGTCTTATGAGAGCTCTTTTCGAGATTGTATTGAAACGGGGTTGGGCACAATTAGCAGAGAAAGCTTTGAACTTGATCAAAATGGTTACCAAACAGATGTGGAATGTTCAAACACCTCTCCGCCAGTTCAATGGAATCCCAAATGAAATTTTAATGAAGTTGGAGAGGAAAGATTTTGCATGGGAAAGGTATTATGATCTCTCAGCTGCGGAGCTTGGGGAGCTCATTTGTTACTCAAAGATGGGCAGAACACTTCACACATTTGTTCACCAATTCCCAAAACTAAACATTGCAGCGCATGTTCAACCAATTACTCGCACTGTTTTAAGGGTTGAACTTACAATAACACCAGACTTCCAGTGGGATGACAGGGTCCATGGATATGTGGAGCCATTTTGGGTAACTGTGGAGGATAATGATGGTGAATACATTATTCATCATGAATATTTTATGCTGAAGAAGCAGTACATAGATGAGGACCACACACTGAATTTTACTCTGCCAATCTATGAACCATTGCCGGCACAGTATTTTATACGTGTTGTGTCAGATAAGTGGCTGGGTTCACTAACTGTTTTACCTGTCTCTTTCAGGCACCTTATATTGCCAGAAAAGTATCTTCCACCAACAGAGCTCTTGGACTTACAACCTCTCCCGGTGACAGCATTGTGCAATCCAGCATATGAAAATCTTTATAAGGATTTTAAGCATTTTAACACTGTCCAGACTCAGGTCTTTACTGTTTTGTATAATTCAGATGATAATGTCTTAGTTGCTGCGCCAACAGGGAGCGGGAAGACGATATGTGCAGAGTTTGCCATTTTGAGGAATTGTCAAAAAGCATCTGATAGTGTCATGCGTGCTGTATATATAGCACCCATTGCAGCTCTTGCCAAAGAACGTTTCCGTGATTGGGAGGTGGCCGTCGTCTTGGAATGCAGGTGGTTGAATTAACTGGGGAAACAGCCATGGATCTGAAACTGCTTGAGAAAGGTCAAATAATTATCAGTACTCCAGAGAAATGGGATGCTTTATCCCGCCGCCGGAAGCAGAGGAAGTATGTGCAGCAGGTTAGTCTTTTCATTGTTGATGAACTCCACCTGATTGGTCCTGTCTTGGAGGTGATTGTTTCTCGGATGAGATATATTTCCAGCCAGGTTGAAAACAAGATGCGTCTTGTTGCTCTGTCTACTTCTCTTGCAAATGCCAAGGATCTTGGCGAATGGATAGGGGCTACCTCTCATGGCCTTTTCAATTTTCCTCCTGGGGTTCGTCCTGTGCCTCTGGAAATACATATTCAGGGAGTGGATATATCCAATGTTGATGCAAGGATGCAAGCCATGACGAAACCCACATATACTGCAATTGTCCAACATGCCAAGAATGGAAAGCCTGTGGTTGTATTTGTCCCTTCAAGAAAATATGTGCGACTCACTGCTGTGGATCTGATGACATATTCAAGGATGGACGGTGATCAGAATTCAGCTTTTCTATTGCGATCCCATGAAAACTTTGAGGAATATCTTAGTGGTATCAGTGAAGAGATGTTGAGAGCTACTTTGCGTCATGGAGTGGGGTACTTGCATGAGGGTTTAAACAGTTCTGATCAAGAAGTTGTTTCAGAGCTATTCAAAGGTGGATTCATTCAGGTTTGTGTTATTAGTAGTTCGTTCTGTTGGGGAGTGCCATTGACAGTACATTTGGTGGTTGTGATGGGAACACACTATTATGATGGGCAGGAAAATGCTCATACGGACTATCCTGTTGCAGATCTATTGCGGATGATGGGTCATGCTGGTCGACCTCTGCTGGATAATTCTGGAAAATGTGTCATCCTCTGTCATGCCCCTTGTAAAGAATACTACAAAAAGTTCTTGTATGAAGCATTTCCTGTTGAAAGTCATTTGCATCACTTCCTACACGATAATTTCAATGCAGCAGTTGTTGCAGGAGTTATTGAGAACAAGCAAGATGCTGTGGATTATCTCACTTGGACGTTCATGTACAGGAGGCTCACTCAAAATCCAAACTACTACAATCTCCAGGTTGTAAATCAGAGGCATCTCTCTGATCACCTCTCGGAGCTGGTTGAAAATACATTAAGTGATCTGGAAGCAAGCAAGTGCATCATTATAGAAAATGACATGGACTTTTCTCCTTCAAATCATGGCATGATTGCTTCTTACCATTGCATCAGTTATACTACTATTGAACAGTTCAGTTCTTCTTTGACTCTGAAGACAAAGATGAAGGGTCTTCTGGAGATTCTCGCTTCAGCTTCAGAGTATGTGCAACTACCTATACGACCTGGGGAGGAAGAGGTGGTTCGGAGGTTAATTAATCACCAGGGATTTTCATTTGAGAATCCAAGATGCACTGATCCTCATGTTAAGGCGAATGCTCTTCTTCAAGCACACTTCTCGAGGCAATCAGTGGGTGGGAACCTTGCATTGGACCAGCGGGAGGTTCTCCTTTCTGCTAGTAGATTGCTCCAGGCTATGGTTGATGTTATTTCAAGTAATGGTTGGTTGAGCCTTGCACTCCTTGCAATGGAAGTGAGTCAAATGGTGACTCAGGGCATGTGGGAATGTGATTCCATGCTTCTCCAGCTCTCGCATTTCACAAAAGATTTGGCGAAGAAATGCCAAGAGAATCCTGGCAAGAGCATAGAGACAGTGTTTGATTTGGTTGATATGGAGGATGATGAGAGGCATGAGCTCCTGCAGATGTCTGATTCACAGTTAACTGATATTGCAAGGTTTTGCAATCGTTTCCCCAACATAGACATAACTTATGAGGTGCAGGATGGTGATAATGTAAGGGCTCGGGAAGACATTATATTGCAAGTCACCCTTGAGCGGGATGTGGAGGGGAGGACAGAGGTGGGACCTGTTGATGCTCCCAGATATCCTAAAGCCAAAGATGAACGCTGGTGGCTTGTTGTTGGCGACACCAAGACTAACCAGTTGGTTGCCATTAAGAGGGTGTCACTCCAAAGGAAGTCAAGGGTCAAGCTTGATTTTGCTGCTCCTGCAGATGCTGGCAAGAAATCATATACTCTGTATTTTATGTGTGATTCATATTTGGGCTGTGACCAAGAATACAGTTTCACCGTTGATGTCAAAAAAGTTGGTGGCCCGGATGAAGACAGTGGATGAGAATGAGCAGAAAGTTGTGTGTCTCTACCTCGGAGTTTCGACTCTCTGCTTGTCTCCTATTAACTTCTATTGTTTTTGCTATGAGTGCTTGCACTATTAACATGAACGTATCGGCAAATCAGTGTACAGTTTTTTGTTTTTTGTTTTTTTTTTTTAAATCAGATAAAAATTGGGATGCCCGGTATGTTTCACATAACTGTACCGTGCATTACTCAACTTGTTTTAATTATGCTGGCATGGGAAAGAGATTGAGAATTGGGATCTTCTCTTTTTGCAGCTGGTCATCTAAACTGCATTCTTGGCTGTGTTTGTTTTGAATAATATTTTTGAAAAAGTTAAGTTGGATTGTTACTACGATGATAAGATTTGAAAATTAACAAAAACAGTCTCTAAGTTTGTTAATATAGTTAAACATCTTTTACAATAAAATATTGAAAATTAACAAAAATACTTTTACCCATCCATTAAATGTTGACCACTACCGTTGCCGATATGGTATTTTTCGATCAAATTTGATCACATTTGGTCATCAATAACGGTCATATCTGATAATCATTTGTTAATATTTCCTTTTTATTAAGTTTAGTAACCAGAAAGCATCAACTGAGCATGAAAATTTTTATATATGAAGAGCAGTAATGTTTGACAGGAAATTCAAATATATGATAATCACTTTTTTGTGAGAGTATTAACCCTCATGAGACCAGCTCTACCATGATATTATATGAAGCTCTGTCAGGTTCACAACCCATGTGCTGCATAGTGAAAATTCTTTGATGCATAGACAATACTTGAGGAAAGAACTAGTAAATGCTTCAATCTAATCTTCATAGATACGAAACTCCTCAGGCTCAGGATTATCTTGGCAAAAGAATTCAAGAGGATCTTGTTTCTCAAGTTTTCGTCTGAGATCCGCCTTGGCTTGGCTCACTTCATCCCACGCTACCTCTGTCAGTTGCTTCTCTCTCATATGCGTCCCCTTAAACTTTTGCCATCCCCGTCGCTTTCACACTCGTATTCCTTCTTTCCACCTTCTTCTGTTCAACCGATACTATTATTATTGGTACAGAAATCCTCAAGCACATTTACTTGTATAAAAATGCTTCTAAAATTCAAAGAAACAACATATTTACATGCTCCCGAAAGCAACTACATAATGACAAGTTTCTACTATTGCTTTACCTCTTGAGTAATTCCTCAGTTGAAAAGTGACAGAAATTATTAACTCTCAGCATAGGTAGCTTGATTACAAAATCAATACAACACATGAAAGAAATTATAAAATCAGAAATATGATTATGAGATGCGCTTCTGATTAAACATCAAGAAGTGAAGAATGAATAAAGATTATTAATGAGAATGCATAACAAACCATTAACTCCATATTAATCGAGTTGTTCCGACTACTCTCCGAATGCCATTCTTCCTCTTTTCCATAATGTAAAAAGCTGCACCAAGACAATGAATATTTAATGAAATTTGAAACTATGAACAGAAAACTACATGCCTTAGTATAAAGTAAAAAACACTTCAACATTATCGGAAAATTGATTTAAGGAAAGTGGGATTATGACCTTTAAAAAGTACAACCAGAGGTTATGCGAAATATTTCCAATTTCTAGGAGGGATACAAAGTACAGTAGACAGAATTGGATGCCTGGCTTCAATAAGCTCAAATAGATCAAATGCAACAAGAAAACAACTTCACGACATCTTAAACTTGTCTCACTGCATCAAAATTAACATATCAAAATCAAAGTTTATTCGAGAGAACAGGGCTTTGTCATACTAAAGAGAGAGAACCAAAACAAATCTCACTCTACCAGTCATCAAGGGATTTCATCAAGGGTCCACAGTAATTGGAGAAGCTTCTTCATCTAACATACTTTCATTGATAAGAACTTCCCATCTAGCATGGTTGTATCATAATGTTTGAATTCCTCCTCGGCATCGATTCATCATTCCATGATCAATTGATGTTAAACCACATTGTGACATGAAGATACAAGCATTAATATTATTGACAAGATTAAAAAATGATAATAATCATCTTAATTCTAAAAAGGGTTTATGTATATATGAATAGGTAATTGGTTGTCATCAACAACAATTTGTTCTTTTAACGAAGCAATGTCGCATATAGAAATATAGATGAGATGCTACTCACTAAGCAAATGTGAAAAGAAAAACAAACCTTCTTATTAGGAACAGGGGCATTTTCAACCCCGTCAAATCTTCTGTTTCAACAAAGCACAGTTCCACTCATCCAACACATCTTCAATGTCATAAGACTGTCCTTGAGCCGATCTATCACTTGTCTTTCCTCTGCATCAAGGAGCACAGCTTGAATAGCTTGAAGATCTGAGCTTTTTAACTTTTTTGTGAAGACCAACAACTAGCCTCACCTCCTGTTGTATCCCTTGGGCAATGATTGAAGTCAATTGCTCCAAGACACCGGAAATAATAGCATCAGCCATAATCAGAAAAGATAAATATTTTATAATAGCTGCTTTGTGCTAGGGTACTCATAGAACAATAGTAAGTAAAAGACATGACTAGTAGCAAAAGTAAATGGGCCCAAAAATTTTCTTTTCTTACATATAAACATTCTTTATACAAAATAAAACTATCATTTACAAAATGATATTAAAACAACGGACAGTGTAGCTATTACTCCTCGCTTGTCGATGCCCGTCCAACTGCGTTCTCACCTAGATCCTGCAACCACAAAGAAAACAACGGGGTGAGCACAAAATAATGCTCAATAAGTAAATCCTCTACGATTGTCCCCGTTACTCATTTCTTTTAATTCTTTCCTTACATTTTTCTCATCTCATTTATGATCTCTTTCACACAGTTCTCTCACTTAATTTCTTATATATATATATATGTTACAGCCTCATCTTACCTGAGGCACGGTCGGGTGGAGTTCACACAGCACCAACCCACTCTTTGTGATTTTCGGGTGGAGATCACAAAGCACCATCCCATTTCTCATCACTATCGGGTGGAGATCACAAAGCACCAACCCATTTTTCATATTTTCTCATTCTAGCCTCTCTTAGAGTAGTTCATTCACACAATTCTCTACTCTTTCTCAAACTACTCCTCAAATGCACAATTAATGCATATGGATGGTTCATGTTCATTAATGCACTTAGGAAATGCCAATATGCAATGTTGCAGAAATTAAGGTTTACAACTCATACTCATACTTCTCTTAGGCATTTCATCAAACAATTAGTGTGCATACCTACACTCCACTTTGTTTATAAGTCCATTCCTCCCTTGGACCATCCAAAATAGGAGAAAACTCCCTTACCAAACTATAATCCCTGCCATAACTTAAAACTTCCAAAAAGATTTCTCAATCTCCTCCAATTTCATCACAAGTTCAATAACATAACATATATCATGCATAAATAAATCTCTACTCAAAGAATTTCTCAAATATCAACTTGGATTGGGATTTACTTACCTTGTGATGGTGTGATTCCACTAACACTTATATTTTCCTTTGGTAGATGTCTTTTCTCTACACCTTTAAATATTAACACATTAAGACCTCAACACCTTTATAGGTAAATTTCACATTTAGAGCAAGGATTCTTACCTTAGGATGCCTTAGATCAATTCTCTACCAAGATCCAACTAAAAAACCCTCAAAAATCCTTGAAAGCTTAAAGGAAGAATTGAGAGGAAATGGTGAAAGAGTATGGCGGTGGAGAATAATGAATGAAGGGTTTACAAAGTTTATCCCCTTTTAGCTCAAAATATATTCATTCATTCCCATATTGCCCTTACTCTTTCTCCAAAATTCCATCCTTGTCCTTTAAATCATTACAATCACACCCCCACTTTAACATATTCTCCCTAAAATTTCCTTACATTTCACTCCCCACTTTTCCTGCTAATTAGGGGTAGAATGGTCATTGTGCCCCAAAGGAAGAATTCTCTAGAAACTGAATACACCTTTTGTCAAGCCCTTCGCCGCGGCGAAGAATATTTTTTCGCCCCGACGAAAATTTACAGAACTTACACCGTAGGTTGCAGGACTTCATCGCCGCGGCGAAGCTTCTTCTTCGCCCCGGCGAAGTCTGTAACACAAAAATTCGCCAAGTCTTTACAAATTTCAGGGCAACACTCAACCAACGCACAATATCCATTCAACCAAGGACCAACCAAACAATATTAACAATATAACAACTCAATTGAGAGCAAACCAATAAAGATTCAAGCAATGCAACGTAAATTCACTACATACCTCAAGTGGGGCTTTACATATTTGTAAGAAGAAAGAGCAAGAGATATATTCGTGAAGCTTTTGACATTGTTTGAATTCTTATACTACATAACATAGAAGAAGCCTAGAAACCAACAAATGTTACATGGTGGCAAAGGACTTGCACACCTTTTATTGATACCAATAATTCAACAAAAACATGCAGACTTCAATGTTGATATATACCAAATCCTTTTAAAATAATAGAATCAGTAATGGTGAGCCTGCTTGGCCAGCACCTTGAATCATCTTTTGTTTGGTTCTATGTATAGTTGTGTTGTAGTAATACTTTTATATATAAAGCTGAAGTGGTAAATCTATATTATTAAATTAAATTATGAAGAATTTTATCCATATATAGAGCTCACTAAGAAAATGTGAAAACCAGAAGATTCAGCACTTGTTTCATTAGGCAAAAGTTTCTTCTTGTTACACTATAAGTGCCTCAATGAAGTTTCTGCCATTGAACTATAAAGAATTGGTCCTTCATTCTTCCTCTCTTCCATAACCCAGCGTTGTGACCTTTAAGGAGTACAAAGACAATTATACACAAAGATTCAACGGATGGCAATTTTCCCAAGGGAGGCAAATGCTTGTAGAGTTTATGCATCCAACTAGTGTTAAGTCCCTGAGGTTGGTTAAGGACATCATCTAGTTGGGTAAAAGCACACTGACATATGAAAAATGCATTAATTATTTATAGGATTACAAATGACAGTGATGATGTTAATTCTAAAAAAGGGTAGTAAATTGTTCTATTTAAGAAGCAAGTAAGAGATAGATATATAGATCAGAGGCCAGCTTACCCAACAAAATGTGAAAACCAAAAGATTCAGTACTTGTTTCATGAAGCAAATTTGCTTTTATTTCTACAAGTGCATCAATGGAGTTTCTGCAATTGCTTTGCCCTAGAGCATTCCCTGCGGTGAGGAAATCAGTTCTACACATTAAAGAAATAGCAGATTCAGAAAGAGGATGATGTGATATGCTTTTGTTTAAACATCAAGAATGAAGAAAAAATAAAGATTATTAGTAAGAATGCATTACCAACCATGTATTAACTCTAATATGTTTATTAATCACAATTCTTCAACTAATCTCCGAATGTCATTGTTCCTCTCTTAAAATAACGCAAAATACAGTGCTGAGACAATAAATATTTGATGAAACTTGCAACTATGAATAGAAAATTACATGCCTTAGTATAAAGAAAAAGAAACTTAAACAGTATCAGGAAATTGATTAAAGGAAAGTGGGATTATGACCTCTAAGAAGTACATAGGTTATCCAAGATATTTCTAGGCCTGTCAACTTGTTTCAGGATGATACAAACTTCAGTAGACAGAACATATGTGGTTCCAATAAGCTCAAATAGAGAAGAAGAAGAAGAAGAAGAAGAAGAAAAATGAATTCATGACATCTTAAATTTGCCTGATAAGTACAGAGACAACCAAAACAAACTTAGCTTCTGAGTCATCCAGGGATTTCATAGAGAATCCAGTGTGGTGACAGATGCAGTTGCTCAATATCTTGTTAAAAGTCACAGCTTTCATTGATAATTTCCCTACTAGCATGCTTGTATCATTATGTTTGAATTCCTCCTCTGTTACGATTCATGGTTCCATGATCATTCGATGCTAAAGCACACTCTGACATGAAGATGCTAACATTAATACCATATAAAAGTTTTCTAAACAAAGGTTGAATATAAATTGGTGATTGGCTACCATCAATTACAATTTGTTCTTTTGAAGAAGCAACGTAGCAAATAGAAACTCAGATGAGATGCTACTCACCAAGCAAATTTGAAAACCAAAAGATTTAGGACTTGTTTCACCAGGCCTGTCAATAGTTTCCGACGTGAAAAAATGTTCTTCACAGGGAATTAGATGCCGAGTTTCAATGTGCTCTAAGAGACCAAACGCCCTAACATAGGTAACTTTCCTTACAACCTGATAAGAGAAACCTCAAACTGAGTCCTCAAAGATTTCATAGGTGAAATTCAGTGCAATTAGAGAAGCTCCCTGACAAACACCAAAAAACCAGTTATTAAAGAAGAAATGAATAGGTAATGGGGTATCATCAATAACAATTTGTTTTCTTGAAGAAGGAATGTCGGAAACGGATAGATGAGATGCTACTCACCAAGAAACTTTGAAAACCAAAAGATATGCACTTGTTGGCTGTTTCATCAGACAAATTTTCTTTTCGATAGAATTGCCTCACCAAAATTTCTGCTATTGAACGATTACAACCTGTACTTTCATTGCTTTCGCTCGAAGTATTTCTTCTGCCATTCAGTGACAGAAGTTATAAATTGTCAGCATAATTAGCGCCACTAGAAAACCAGTTCTGTATATTAAAGAAATAATAGAATCAGAAACAGAATATAAACAAATGAAGAAAAAATAGAGATCAGTGAGAAAGTATAATCACCCATTAACTGAGTTCTTTCAACTACTCTCCTCGTGTCATTCTTCCTCTCTTCTATAACGTGAAATGCTGCACTACTAAGAAAATAAATATTTGATGAAATTCATAAAATAGAAAATTATATGCTTAGTTAAAGAAAAGAAAAAGGCTTAAAATATTATCAAAAAATTGACGTATGAAAAGTGGGATTACGACCTTCAAGAAGTACGGATACACAAAATATTTCCTGGCCCATCAAGTCTTCCAGCATGATACATAGTTCTGTTGAAAAAATTCGGTGCCTGGTTTTAAAAAGATTAAACAAAACTACTGTCTTAATATAGGTAACATTTTGATCAAGAAAAAGAATGTAACAAGAACCTCAATCTGGAAACTTCTTAATAGATCATAATTCAACCTTGATTCTTCAGCAAATTCATGACACCCTAAACTTGCTTCTCTGCATCAAAATTAACATATCAAATTCAACTTTAATTTACAAGAGAGAATATGGCTTTACAATGTCCCCACTAAGTAGAAAGGTAACCAAAAGAAAACAATCCTATCACAACAAGTCATCAAATGAATTTATAGAGGGAATCCACTGTAATTTGAGAAATTTCTTAACAAAACAGCAATCCAACAGTAAGAGAAAGAATATCCATTGATAACGCTGTGATGTGTGCTTTCCGATTTGAACATTAACAGAGCAGTGAGAAAGCATAACCAAACATTTGAGTCTTTTTGAGTACATAATCTCCAACACTTATCCCTCCTCTCTTCCATATTTGTTTAATTGTATAAAATTGAAACTGTGATCGAATAGAAGAAATAAATGTTGAACTTGCCAAAGAATATATCCAATAATTTTGGTTGACAGAGAAGTGTTGGCAGAAATTTTAAAAAGCAATAAATTTGAAGAAGTAGATGAAAGATTTCTTTTCCAAAATTTAGTTTCTCATTAATTAACATCAATAATAAGTTTAAAAATGCCCGTATAAATATTCAGAGACTAAATAAAATCTGACCTGGATGAGATTTTACGGACGGCTACAATTACACTGATGAGAATATTGGAGATGTTCGAAACAGATGGAGGGGCATTGCTGATTTTTTCCGGCATGATACAAATTTCTTTAGAGAGGAATTTGGTGACTGGTTTCTCAAAGAGAGCCACTGTAGTGGATGGAGGGGCATTGCTGATTTTTTCCGGCATGATACAAATTTCTTCAGAGAGGAATTTGATGACCGGTTTCTCAAAGAGAGCCAATGTAGCGGAATCCACAGTAGCCTGATAAGCATTGGCTTGATGATTCTAGGGACGAGTAGGACACTCTTTGATAATATGCCCCGGGTTCTTATAGTTGTTGCAAGATTTTCGTGTACAGTTGGTAGCAATATGCCCGTGTTCCATGCAGCTGAAGCATTGAACTTTCCGCATGTCTCGTCCCTTGCCTTTGCCTTGAGTAGCATAAGCCACTACATTGGATATCATTTTGTCATGCTAATAAGTGGCTTAGGTGGCAGGCTGTTGCTCCTCATGAAGTAACTCCCTAAAACAGACATCCAAAGATGGCACAGGATTGCGATTCATCAAAAATTAGAGCGAGTGGCTACAAATTCAGGTCGTAACTTCATTAAAAATTGATCTCGCTTGCTTTGCGCATGAATTTCCTGCACAACTGAGAGAGATTCTTCTAGTACCTTGGCATAAAAAATGTCAATAAATCCTCCCCAGAGATTATTAAATCCAGAAAAATAATCCTAAATGGAGAGATCGCCCTAAGTATAACTAGCAATCTCGTACTCTAATTGAGAACGTCGAGCAATATTGTCTTGATTATATACTTTTTTTAAGTATTCCCACATAGATTTAGCAGTCTTATATGGCCTCAGATTAAGAACAATAATAGGATCCATTGATCCTAAAATCCATGTCATCACCCGAGCATTTTTGGTTTGACACTGAGTCAGTTTAGGAACATCAGTAAGAGCTTGATCACTCCCATCAATGTGACCCCATAACCCTTTCCCCATAACAAATAAACGAAATTGAAATTCCCAAGCAGAATAGTTCTTACCCGTGAATTTCACTGCAATGGAATCAAAAGACATGATGGCCAAATTAAACACTAAAGAGATAGCCAATAACCAGCCCAAGAACAATCCCAAACAGTAGCAACCAAACAATTTCAGAAAATATCTGGTAACGATACCTGCCCAGAAACATGCAACAATCGGCACCCCAAAAATTGAAGACCCTGAACCAAGGATCGTCGACAACCACCCAAGAAGAGATCGACCACCACCAAGGAACCACCAGAAATTGTTGACACACGCAACAGACCACCAGAAACTGTCGACAAACTCAGAACTGAAGGTGTACCACCAAGAAAACCCACCCAAAATGAGCCGAAAAGCCCCAAGAGACACTCAGACAATGTCGAAAATAATAAGGTGCCCCAAAAACGACTCTAGACTACGCCGATGAGGAAGCCCAAAGTGACCCAAAGGCACCGAAAAGAGAAAAGAAACAGAAACCCACACAAGAAAGGTTCTTAGCTTAGGAACTTGGCTCTAATACCATGTCAATTGGATTCAATGTCCCCTCTGTGAGGATTTCCTCTCATTATACAGGCACAACTGTGCAATATACAAGGCCAGAATCAAGCCTAATTACAGCTATTAAACCTATCTATACCAAAACTATGTCTATATACAGATTCTAACTAAATAAGGAAGTATATATGTACAACTGGTGAGAACTAAATAAGGAAACATGGAGCGTATCATGATGATAGTTACAAGTCACCACTTTCATTGATAAGAACTTCCCATCTAGCATGCTTGTACAATTATGTTCAAATTCCTCCTCTGCATCAATTCATCATTCCATGATCAATTGATGCTAAACTACACTATGAAATGTAGATGCAAGCATTAATATTATTGACAAGATTACAAATGACAATGATGATGTTAATTCTTAAAACGGATTGTGAGTATATGAATAGATAATTGGCTATCATCAATAACAATTCGCTCTTTTAACAAAGCAATTTAGCTATAGAAATATAGATGAGATGCTCCTCACCAAGCAAATGTGAAAAGAAAATCATACCTTCCTATTAGGAACAAGGGCATTTCCAACCCCCTCAATTCTCTGTTTCAACAAAGCACAGTTCTACTCATCAATGTCATAAGACATGTCCTTGAGCCAATCTAACCAAAATCTAACGTTTCTCTCCTTCACTTGTCTTTCCTTTGCATCAAGGGGCACAACTTGAATAGCTTGAAGATTGCTCTTGAGCTTTTTAACTTCTTTGTCAATAACAACAACTAGCCTCACCTCATGTTCTATCCCTTCAGCAATGATTGAAGTTAGCTGCTCCAAGACACCAGAAATAATAGCTTTAGCCATAATCAGAGAAAGTGAATAATTGTAAAAAGAAAGAGCAAGAGATATATTCATGAAGCTTTTGACATCGTTTGAGTTCTTATTTTATCCATAATATAGAAGAAGCCTAGAAACCAACAAATGTTACTTTTATCCATATATGGGACCCAAATCTTTTACTTTTCATCAGTGAGACCTATATGGCTCTTCATTTCAGGCCAATATAAAAACATGGGATCTCTTTCACTGTGAAATGCATGTAAGGGGTTTATTGGTTATTTTGACCATATAAAAACAAATACATGTCTTGAGATTTCTTATGTAAAGAAGCCAACATAGTAGTTGGTGAATCAGCTGTTGTTTACATGACTATTCACCTGCTGTTTACATGAGTAAGTTGCATGTTATCTGACTAAACTGCATACAAAAGCTTTTTGGGCTGTTGAAAAAAAACCTAAGTGTTGCAATTTATTGAGCAGTCGGTATGCGGAAGTACTA